ACCCATTCTGAGATGGGTCTAGAAGCAGCTGGCCAGGAGAAAGTGGAACCACCCAGGAGGTGGGAGACAATGTCTGTGTGAGCGCCTAAAGAAAAAAGACCATCTGGAGCTTTTAAATATTTGAAAGAGCAACATGGCAGTTTCCACGGTTTGAGAGTGAGAGGGATTGTGTGATAAGCCTGGAGAAGTAAACTGAGGCAGAAATTCATGGCAGTCCAGGTAAATGCTTTGGCGTCATCATAAGGCATGTGAAGCCATCCTTAACCCAGAGTCTTGAAATAATGGTCAGTCAAGTTTCTCATCCCCACCTCCCCACACACAGTTGTACATTTGGTATCATTGGAATGAGTGTTAAGGATGCACCTGGCTTTAGAGAACACGGGCAGGAAAGCAGAGTGACCCTAGAATCTCAGCCCTTCTTGTTCTCTCTCATCTGAAGGAAGAAAAAAGGAAAAGGGAGTAAGACAGAGAGGGCAGGAGCCAAGGAGTGTGGATATTGAATAGCTCTGGTAATCCTTTAGGCCGGGGACGGCTGGGTGGAAGGGAAGCCATTATTCTAGCTGTTGCATTTCTGCTGAGCCTCCAGGCCTGGGGAAGTGGAACACCCGCCCCCTTGCTCTCCTGCAGCAGAGCAGCATGGTGGAGCCCACACCAGCCCCGCAGCCTCTGGCTTCTGCACACCCGTGTTTGTCTTGGCTGAGAGCTATGTGGGGCCTTGTGAAGCTGATTCCATCAAGGCAAAGCTGGAGGAATCAGGACGTGGACACAGAGGAGGGAGCTGGAAAAGGGCCCGAGATGGGGAAATGGAGGTGGTCCCACACTGAGCTGATGGCAGACCAGGCCGAGAGCCCAGGACTCAGGATGCTCTGTGTGGTGCTCAACCCAAGCACCCAAGAGATTCCCACGTGAGTGAGGAGTCTGACACAGGCCTGAAATCCTCCAGGAAGACATCAGCGTGCCCAAAGGAGCCTAGCATCGTGCCTCACCAGACGTGCTCCTCCTGTTACTGCTTTGAGACACACAGACACCCTCAGACACCACACTCCAGCTTCCAGAGCTCAGCCACACCAGCAGTCCTTCCTGGCCTGAGCAGGGGTCTCCAAGGAGACTGAGTTAGCTGGGGGCACTGGGCTATGCCCCACCCCTGCAAACCCCATAATTCTCAGACCTTGGTTTAGCACGTCCCCCAAGTCCCTGGCTCAGCAAGGACCCTTCTGTGTCCTGTTTCACACAGATGCTGATGGGTCACGTGTCCTCCATCCGCCTCCACCATCTGCTGAGGCCCCATAATTATTCCAAGGCCCGGTGCAGCCTCACTTAGAGGGGAGAGTTCACACAGCCTTGTAATGTAACCCAGGCCGAGGCCGCACAGGCAGGGGGTCCCCAGCTGGGTAATGAGCCGTTAGCATTATTGAATCCCCTGGCTTGGCTCTGACTAAATCCCTGCTTTAGCTGAGGAGGCCTGGACTACCCATCCAATACCCTCTCCACTGGGACTTCTTCCTTCCCAGCACCCCAATTCCTGCTCTTCAAATCCTTCCTACTCCCCAAATAAATTTAAATGACCCAGACCAAGGCAGGAGGTCCTGCTGGCCTCCCCCATCCACTAGGGAGAAGGTATGGCTGCCCCAGGTATGGGGCCCAAGCAGGGCAGGCCAGGATAGGCTGCCAATGTGACTTTGCTGGGGCCACCTGTGCGGGCTGCAAGACCTGCAGCTCCCACCCCCACCCAAGCTCCTAAACCTGCAGGCTTCCTTCTCACCTCCCCTTTCCGGAGGCCTGGGCCCCATAGAGGGAGGGCCTTGGCAGAGGCAGCTATGTTGAGAGCCAGGCCTTTCCAGGCAGAGGTGTAGGAAACAGCCTTCTCTACTTTGCTTGTAGTCTTCTGCTCAGGCTTGGGCCCTGCCCAGTATCAGGTCTGTGCAACAGCAAACCCTGGCCTCCTCCCACCCCCAGCACTGTAAGGACCCCCAACTCAGGGTTCACTATTCTTATTTTTGTACATTTGTTTTCTGCCCAGACTGTACCCTCTCTGTTGACAGAGATCATTGTTGATCTCTCTGTGCCCAGAACTCAGCACACAGTAGGTGCTTTAAAAAAATTGTGGAAAGAAAGAAAATAGACAGAGCAGGTGCAGCCAGAGGTAAGAGGTTTGGTTTGTGCATGAGTGCCATGGCGTCTCACTGGGTCCCCATCACATGTGTGGCTGATTTGGGAAATGGTGTCAGCTGTGTTGTCCTGTCAAGACCCTAGTGGCCCAGGAATTGTTCTGCTCAGGGTGAACCTGAGGTCAAGGGCTAAGCAGAGTTCACTGTCTGGGTATGACCTCCTGCCTGGGCACCTAGAGCAGGGGCTGACCCCACCCTGGAAGCTGCCAGGGGTCCACAGTGCCCTGACCCTGACAGTGGTGAAGGCCAGAAAGGGCTCTTCTGAGACAGCTCCGAGTATGGCCCTCTGACCTCTCACCTGGGTGGCAAGAGAGAATGAGCTATGCCTGATGTCCTTGGGCAAAGGGTAAAAGGCAGGGGACACCCCCTAGGTGGGCCAAGCCTCAGCTCAGCAGACTCAGCCCAGGCTCTGTCGTGCTGGTGGCCTGAGCCAGGGAGGCCTGGTGGATGGTGTGAGTGGGTAGTTGAGTCACTCTACTGGGCCTGGGCCTTTGGTATTGTGGGTTTGCTGAGGGTGGGGTCTGTGACACCCACCAGAGAAGAGTGTGAAGGAGCCAGGAGAGGGAGCCAGAGCTGCTGGGAGGGCGGGCCCATGAGGAGGAGACTTCAAAGCACTCTCAGAACAGCTTATAAACAAGCCAGGCAAGCGGTGGGGCCAGCGGGGGCTCTGGGATTCTGTAGAGGCTGGACACTTGCATGGGGCGTGTAAAGAGCACAGGCCTGGGGGCAGGCAGGGAAGGCTGTGGGAGCCCGGCTGGGCCCAGCCTAACCTCTTCATGACTTGGTTTCCTCTCCCGCACAGCAGAGCTCCCTCCTGGGGCTGCTGTAAGGGTCAGCAGGACGGTGCAGGTGAAAGCTCTGTGTGGGCGCCAGGCCTTGATCAGATGTTATTTATTATTCTGAGCTGTGTTTTGGTGGGAGACTTGGAAGGGCTGAGAGGGAGAGTCAGAATGTTCTAGGGCCTCAATCTTCCCTGACGCTGTTTTGAGAGCTCTCAGAGCAGAGTGGCCAGGAATGGGGCCTGGGAAGGAGAGGCCCACAGCTCACATAGGACCAGTCTGGGGGTGGACCTTCTCTTCCAGCTTCCCCCCACACACACTCCCCCCACCTGCTCTGTGCCTGCCCCTCTCCTCCCACCCTACATGGTCTTGAGGGGCACCCCAGAAACCAGCCTCCTCTCCTTGGATACTTGTTCTTATATAATGGGGCTGTGACAGTTTTCCTAAGTCCTACTTAGAAATGTGTCACTGTCCATTTCCCTTTGTGATATCACAGGAGGCTGCGCACACCATGTTGTTCCAGAGCTTGCCGAGGCCCCTGCTCGGAGCAGCTGGAACACGGGTTTATGAAATTACAGGGAATTCAAAGCAGCCGGCGTCGCCCGCTGTCTGGCTTCATTACTGGGACCAGCCTTGGAGGGAAGTTTATTCCAATAATTTAGAGGATTAGGATCTGACACCCTTCATTAGCGATTTGACATAAGCAGAAAAGACAGATCTTGCAGAACGACCCACACGATGGGAAAGAATCAGCTCAGGCAGGGAGAAGGCAACACAGCGCACAGCTGGGAAGAGGAAAAGTCCGTAGGGTGGAAAAAAGGATTGTGTTGGCTTTTTGCAGTCACATGGTGAGTTTGGTTCCTGAAGGAGAATGCGGGCTTGGGGGAAGGAGAGGCCGGGGCTCAGTTTTCCCATCTGTGAAATGAGAGCACTGCGAGGGCCTTCACGGTCCTTCCTTGCTCTGACGTGTGTAGTACCCATCCATCTGCTATCCCTGGGACACTGCAGCTCCCTAAATCCCTTGTGGTTTGGCCTTGAAAAGGTACTTCTCTTTTCAGGGGCTCTCTCAACACCTAGGATTGAGTGACCACTGCAAACACTCAGTCTGCTGCCTTTAGATACAAGGCATTTCTGCCACAGGGGTGAGAACTTACCTCCCCCAACCCCACCACTGACAGTTTCTGGTTCTCTTCCCAGCCCCTCCAGAAATATCGCCCCTGATGCTTCAAAATTTTCTTTTCTTTTCTTTTTTTTTTATTTTTGAGATGAGTTTCACTTTGTCACCCTCTGTAGAGTGCCATGGCATCATAGCTCACAGCAACCTCAAACTCTTAGGCGCAAGCAATCTTCTTGCCTCAGCACCCTGAGTAGCTGGGACTACAGGCACCTGCCACAGCGCTCTGCAATTTTTGTTTTAGAGACAGGGTCTCGCTCTTGCTCAGGCTGGTCTTGAACTCCTGAGTTCAGGCAATCCACCCACCTCAGCCTCCCAGGTGCTAGGATTATAGGTGTGAGCCACCGCGCCCCGCCCTGCTTCAAAAATTTCTTGTCCGGTCTGTAAAAACTAGTGTTTGGGCCGTGCCCTGACAGCAGTTCTGACAGATGAATGAGGGTGGACAGTTAGAAGGCCTCTCCACAGCCCTCAAGCTGGCATACCCAATCTCTGGGTAATGGCAGGGTGCTTAGCCTCTTTCTGGGTCCTTTCCTCCCCGCTAGCATGGAGGTGCAGTCTGCTGTGAGGACCCAAGGAGGTGATAACACATAGGGACCCTGTACGCCTTTGAAGCCCACTATATGTCAGCACTGGTGTTAGTATTACCACTTACTGTGTGCGAACTTGGGCAGGTCGCTTGCCCTCCTCGACCACAGACCTTTTCCTCTGCGGAGCAGGGAAGTGTGATGACACCAGTAAAGCACCAGCACTCAGAAAGAGCTCCCTGAAAAGGGCATGGCCGTGGTCCTTGGCTCCTTGGCTAGGTCGGGCGGCGGTGCAGCGCAGTCCTGAAACACTGTTGCAGCTGCGCGGAGGTTTTCTTGGAGCCGACAAGTGTGTCGATGGAGGAGTGAGGAATGTGATACGTCCCGGCAGCCGGGGGAGCCGGAGCATATCTGGTATGTGTCTCTGGAATGATTTGGAGAAAATTCACCAAAGTTGGAACATAAGACGCAAACTGCCCGGGACACAGAGATACAAGCTGTCCGTTCGCACCCCACCCCCCCAAAAGGACCTGGGGCTGGGGTGGGAGTCGGCTTACACAGCACAGCGGCATAGCTCGGCTCAGGCCCGCCCTGGAATGGCCGTGAACTTGTTGTTTTTCCACGTCATTTGCTCTCAAATGTACTATCGAGCTGGGCGATGCTAACCAGCGGCTACAGGTCCCCCCTTGTAACAAGCGATTGTGTGTTCATTAGAGGCGGCTAACGGGGGAGGAGGGGGCCCAGTCCCAAAGGGGGGGGGGGAAAGGGAAACAAACCCTTCTTTACAGTGAGCTTGCGTGTCCTGAAGCCAGCTTCCCCCCAAAGCACATGCCATTTCTGGCCCTTGAAGGGGTTAAAGGCCTCCTGGAGTCAAAAACAAGCAGGTGTCCCACCGTGCCAGATACGCTGCCTAAACTGCTTCCAGCTTTTTTTTTTCCCTTCTGCAATAAGTCTGTGATCAACCACAGGACAGAGGCGCCAGCAGCCTGCCTGTGACAGGCATCAGGTTAGCCTGCTCCCACTCGGATGGCGCGCCCAGGATATAAATCCAGGCTCGGGGCCCCTGCTGCGGCTCCTCTCCCTGCACGCTCAGGAGAGGGAATTTCCTTCCACAGACCTTTCTTTTATCTGAAACCGCACGCCCCAGCAGGCTGCGCTGACTTGGTGGAGGCAGCCGGCAGCAGCAGCCTCAGCACAGCCTTAGCAAGGGAGCCTGCTGGGGTGGGAAGGGCAGGTGTCTCCAGCCCACGAGAAGGAGGCCCTTGTGGCCTCCAGCCCATGGCATCATCGCAGGGGAGGTCTCTGGCCAACATTGACCGCACCATGTGGCCCCTGGGGTGCTGCCCATTCTGGTCCCGCTGGGAGCAGGTGGCAGCGCTGCTGCTGCTGCTGCTGTTACTTGGGGTACCGTCGCGAGGCCTGGCGCTGCCGCCCATCCGCTATTCCCATGCTGGCATCTGCCCTAACGACATGAACCCCAACCTCTGGGTGGATGCACAGAGCACCTGCAAGCGGGAGTGTGAGACGGACCAGGTGAGTGAGGGCCAAAGGCTGGAGTGAACCACGTGCATGTGTTAGTGAGATGGGTGGGGGCGCAATGTGGGGGACAGCTCGGCAGAAGGCCCCTGCAGGGCCCAGGAATGTGAAGGAACATAGACCCTGTCCACCCAGGGATAAATAGGGCACAGTGCTTGTTCATTAGCACTGAGGCCTGGCAGGAGAGGCGGGAGTGCTGTCCAAGTTCATCTTGTTTGCCGAAGGCTGCTGTGGCCGACATGTAGTGTGGACTGGTACGACGACACCTTAGCATGTGGGCACCAGCAGCCCACTCAGAGGTGAGAGGGGAATGCAAAGCCATTTGGGGAAGGCCGAAGGTGCCATGACCAGAGAGGACAGGGTAGAATACCTGTCTGCTGACATAGCTGAGGTTTCATCAGCCTCTAAGCCAGCTCCCCAGGGATTTGGACCCTCACTCTGACAGCAGACCAGGCTGACAGCAGGATGGGAACCAAATAGTCACCTGGGTGTCCTCTGGGAAGAAATGGGCTAAGTTTCAGGCTTCCGGGTTCTTCAATCCAGCCCTTCTGCTTCCTATCAGAGGACACTGCAGCAGGGGCAGGCCAGTTCCAGGGCAATTCCCTCCCAGCTCCTGAGTCATTCCCAAGGGCCCCATTCCTGCCCATTCCCCACTAGGAGTACAAGTACCTGCACCTGCTCTGGGCAGAGCCACTTCCACTCGGCCTGGCCAGCTCTGAGGACAGCACAGTCTCCTGGGGCTCCAGGTCTAGGCTGGCATCCCCGGGGAACTTTAGACTGTAGTGTTCCTATAGATACCTGGTCACCCACAGGAGAGCACAGAGCTGCCCTGGAGACAGTGCTGGGGAGACCATTCTCAGGCCAGATGCTACCAGTGGACATGGGGTATTGAGGGAAAGGGAGATAAGTAGTTGGGAGGGGTGGTACTGTTCCTACCCAACTAAGGTCATGCCATTAGTTGGCCATGTTTATAAGAAAGGCTGTTTTCCTGGCATGGGCTGACCTGGCACCTAGTAAGCCAGGTGGGGTCTAGGCACAGTGGACTCTGATTGGGCATGTGTGTTTCAGAGAGAGGACCCTGTATGGAGCTGGGGATTCAGATAGCCTGTGGGGACACTCTAGCCCTTGAGCTAAAGTGTCCTAATGATCCTCCCAGGCTTCCTGTGCCCGGGTCCTTGAGGACCCAGCCTTTCATGGACCTCTAGGTCCTGAAGGAGCTTCCTGGGCCAGTGTCTTAAGGAACCAGGTGATCTGCAGGCTGAGGGGTAGGTTTCCCACTCCTACTTTCCCTCCTCCCCTTATCTCCTCGCAGGGCCCTCTCCCCTGGACACCAGCTCTGAGAGCTGCCCATCCCTGTCCCAAGCCTCCCCTGGTGTAGTCTAGAAGCCTCTGCCAAACAAGGGCTGCAAAACAAAGTCCCCTTTCTGAGCCAAAAGGGGTAGCGCCGTAAACAAGTGAAGCAGGCAGGCTGCACACAGCCGGGGTGGGGGTCACTTCCCCCTCTTAGCTGATGTGGAATGTCAAAGAGGCTGAAATAAAAGTTGGAATGACAAGAGGCCAGCCCTAGTGGGGAGTAATTCACAGAGTTACTACCTGGTGGAGGATTAGGAGTGTTGCCTGCCTGCCCAGTGGGTACGATGTGTTATTGTCGAAAACACCACGTGAGATCCTTGTTTGTGTCGGCTGCAGGAGCGTGGTGCTAATTTCGAGGAATTAAGCTAATGCCTTACGTGGCTCCACAGAAAATCAGAGGGATTACAGCCTGGCAAGTCCCTACTGACCTTTGCCACACAAGGGGACTTTTCTTCTCGTTGCTTCCCCCATGAAATGTCCCATACTGAGCTAAGCGCCTGGCATCCGGGGCCAGTCACACCTGCCTTTACCACTGGCTTTGGATGGATATGGACCCTTACTGGGGCCTCTGTTCCTCATGTGTATGTTGGTCCCCTCAAGAGGATGAGAGGGTGGACAGTTTGGAATGTATGTCCCAGGGTGTTTCCTTCTTCATGTCTGATGTGAACTTACCCCACTAGAAAAATGAGAAAAAGACAGCCTCACTTGTTCAAATTGGACCTCATTTGTAGTAACTACCCAGAGTATAGAAGAAAAAATGCCATTGCAGAATCCCATGCACCAGGAGCTCAGGGTCTTTTTCTCTGGGTGTCACCTCTCTGAGCCTCTTCATTCTCATTTGTGAAATAGTTGTAGGAAAATGGCCCACCTCTTCCCACACTGCTAGCTGTGTGACCTTGAGCAAGTTACTTAACCTCTCTGGGCCTCAGTATTCCCCATCAGGACAGTGGGGATAGTAGCTGTACTCGCCTCAGACTTGTGATGAGTGTAATAAGTTGACAGATGTCAAAGTTCTTAGATGAGGACCCGGAACACTATGGATGCTGTGCAGGCATTAGCTATGATTATCATCACAGGTTCTGCTCATATCACATGGTGAGCATGTGTGTGTTACTCTCCCTGAACTGTGGGCAGGGCCCCTCCCTTCTTCCTTCTCCTCCCCGTTCAGGCCTCTCTCTCTGGCTCTTTCAGGAGTGTGAGACCTATGAGAAGTGCTGCCCCAATGTGTGTGGGACCAAGAGCTGTGTGGCAGCCCGCTACATGGATGTGAAAGGGAAGAAGGGTCCAGTGGGCATGCCCAAGGGAGCCACATGTGACCACTTCATGTGTCTGCAGCAGGGCTCCGAATGTGACATCTGGGATGGCCAGCCTGTGTGTAAGTGCAAAGATCGCTGTGAGAAGGAGCCCAGTTTTACCTGTGCCTCGGATGGCCTCACCTACTATAACCGCTGCTACATGGATGCTGAGGCCTGCTCCAAGGGCATCACGCTCGCTGTTGTCACCTGCCGCTATCACTTTACCTGGCCTAACACCAGCCCCCTGCCACCTGAGACCACTGTACATCCCACCACAGCCTCTCCGGAGACGCCTGGGCTGGACCTGGCGGCCCCAGCGCTGCTCAACCACCCTGTGCACCAGTCAGTCACAGTGGGCGAGACAGTGAGCTTCCTCTGCGATGTGGTGGGCCGGCCCCGGCCTGAGATCACCTGGGAGAAACAGCTGGAGGATCGGGAGAACGTGGTCATGCGACCCAACCACGTGCGCGGCAATGTGGTGGTCACCAACATCGCCCAGCTGGTCATCTATAACGCCCAGCCCCAGGATGCTGGCATCTATACTTGCATGGCCCGGAATGCTGCTGGGGTCCTGAGGGCTGACTTCCCGCTGTCAGTGGTTGGAGGGGGTCAGGCTGTGGCCACCTCGGAGAGCAGTCCCAATGGCACCGCCTTCCCGGCAGCTGAGTGCCTGCAGCCCCCGGACAGCGAGGACTGTGGCGAGGAGCAGACCCGCTGGCACTTTGACGCTCAGGCCAATGACTGCCTTATCTTCACCTTTGGCCACTGTCACCGCAACCTCAACCACTTCGAGACCTACGAGGCCTGTGTGCTGGCCTGCATGAGTGGGCCGCTGGCCGCCTGCCGCCTGCCTGCCTTGCAGGGGCCATGCAAGGCCTACGCACCCCGCTGGGCCTACAACAGCCAGACGGGCCAGTGCCAGTCCTTTGTCTATGGTGGCTGCGAGGGCAATGGCAACAACTTTGAGAGCCGAGAGGCCTGTGAGGAGTCGTGCCCCTTCCCTCGGGGGAACCTGCGGTGTCGGGCCTGTAAGCCGCGGCAGAAGCTAGTGACCAGCTTCTGTCGGAGTGACTTTGTCATCCTGGGCCGGGTCTCTGAGCTGACTGAAGAGCCTGACTCCGGCCGGGCCTTGGTGACCGTGGATGAGGTCCTGAAGGACGAGAAGATGGGCCTTAAGTTCCTGGGCCGGGAACCACTGGAGGTCACTCTGCTCCATGTGGACTGGGCCTGCCCCTGCCCCAACGTGACAGTGGGTGAGACGCCGCTCATCATCATGGGCGAGGTGGACGGTGGCATGGCCATACTGAGGCCTGATAGCTTCGTGGGCACATCAAGCACCCGGAGGGTTAGGAAGCTCCGAGAGGTCATGCACAAGAAGACCTGCGATGTCCTCAAGGAGTTCCTGGGCTTGCACTGAAGCCCTGCTCCACCCCAGGCCCCTCCCACTTCCCCACCCCTCCCTGACCCCCTCCCACTTTCCCCCACCCCATGCTCCTCAGTCAGCAAACTGGGTGAGGTCAGATTAGACAGTCATGGGCCAGCAGGGAAACATCCATCATCATGTCAGAAAAAAGCCACCAGAACATCTCCCATCAGCTTTTATTCTTTGGCTTCTGTAAGGGGTCTGGTTTTTAGCTGAGGAGGACAAAAGGGGACGTCAATACACATGGGTAGGTGGTTTCCGAAGACCAGTCTGCTCAGGCATTCTCCTTCCTTTGCCAAGCCCCCACCCCTGGCTTTTCCTAGCCACCTTGCCCATAGCCAGGCCCCAGCCAGGATTCAGGGCACAGCTGCTGTGTGCTGGTTATAGGAACAGTTGAATGAGGTGGCTTCCAAGGGGCCAGAGACAGAAGGGCCCAGGGACTCATGCACAAATTCCCCACGGCTTCCTAGAACCCTGTGAGCAGAGACCACTGGGTGTTAGAGGTCAGGTGCAGTGGGAAGCTGGAGGCACAGTCCAACCTAGCATTCAACTTGTGCTGAGAGGAGGCTTCTGGGACAGGTGCCTCTGGGGGGTCAGCCTGTGTCTCTAAGGCCAGCATGGCACCAGCAGAACACATCTTCCCTCTTGGCTGTGTTGGTCCATTGATCAACTGTGTTCAGTTCAACCCAGCGGACATTCTCTGAACACCTAGTGGGTGCCAGGTCCTAGGACCACAGATTTCTGTTAAGTCACTACCTGGCTCAGAGCAGCCAAACACAAATGCTGTGATCCCAGTCCCCCCTAGAAGCAAACCCATGGCTGAAACCCCATTTGATGGGTGGTACGTTGTCATAGGTATCGATCGGCTTCCTTGGACATAAGGTCCCAGAACCCAAGGGAAAGAAAGGAGACCAGGAAGGGGGTAGCGGAGGAACTAGAAATGGGGACTCAGGCTGGAGGAGGAAAGGAATGCTGCTCAATACTCCCATCTGGTGGCGGCCTCGGGAGTCCGCGGGAACCGGGAAGAAGGCTCTAGGTGAGGCCTGGAAGGGAAGGTTTGGGGATGTGGCAGCTCTTGGGTGATTTGCTTGTTTCCAAACTTCCTGGCCACTTCCCCACAAGATCTGGGAACCCCGCTGTCAGCCCTACATCTTCTCCTGTGCCCTCCTCAGCCCTTCGTCTATCCCTGCCCCTCCAAAGCTAGAGAAGGTCATTGTGGGGCATCCTCATTTCCTCCTCAAATATAGGGAGGAGGAAACCAATTAAAAGCTCATAGTATCAACAGCCCTTCCTGTATGATTCCTTTGGGCTCATGTGGGGTAGGGGGCAGCGAGGGATAGTGGTAGTGATGATTTGCTTGGTGACCTTACAGAGGGATATTTGGCCAGTGGGACCATGTCTGGGTAACAGAGGGACAGTGCTCAGGCCCACTTTGAGGCTCCAAGCTCCCTTAATGGTAGTGCTCAGTGCAGCCAAGCTAAGATTGAGAAAGCTGAGGCCACGGAGGCCGACAGGGTTGGGGCATGGGCCCAGGAGTTCTGACTCGTAATCTGGGTGCTCAGATTCCATTATGATAGTACATGGGTCAAGTGCATCAGCCAGACCCTGCTACTGATGCTATGGGTTCAGGTGGAAGAGACAAGAGTGGGGCAGGCAGAGGATGAGCCACTAGTTATGACTCCCTAGGGGTGGGGCCTGGTCCCCAGAGGACTCTGCAGCAAAGCCCTAAGTGTGCCCAGGGCATGGGGCTTGGTTTTGAGAATGGAGAAGGTGACATCTTTGGCCTCAGGGGCGCTCAGGGCTGCTTCTTACCCTTGGAGACATATTCAGGAGTCCTGCTGCTGTGGCACACCTCATAGCTTGTCTGTCCCTACAAGAGATACCACTCCCCTCCCCAAAGGAGGAATCCAGGCCAGGCCTAGTATAGCACAGCCCTTCTCACCCACAGTAAGGGCAGGGGATGGCCTGGGGGCTGGAAGACGCGCAGTTGGAGGTTCTCAGGCTGCCAGTGGGAGAACACTGAGTCCAAAACAGCCACAAAGATGGCACCACTGTGCTCCAGACTGGGCAGCACAGTAAAACCTGTTTCTAAAAACCTGTATGTATAAAAAGATGGTATAGTCCCTGCTCAGGTCAGTTGCCACAGGGTAAGAATGTCTGTCTCCTCAGCCTCCCTCAGAGGCCTGGGACATTCAGTCCTACCTGTGGCACACTACTATACAGCCTGAGGGAGTGAGTTCCACACCCCAGCACCGGTCACTTTCCCCTTCACCCCCACTTGCAAAAATATGGAGCCTGAGTCCCAGGTCTGGGCCAGGACAGCAGGGACCAGGTTGCACTTCTGCTTTCTGGTGTGGGTGTGAGTTCAAGAAAATCCCATATGAGGGCTCACTCTCACAGATCACTGCCCATACTCAGCCCCAGTCCCTGGGTACCTGGCATACTCCAGCCCCAGCTTAGCAGAGTGAGAAAACAGAGCCTGTGGTTCAGACTCACCGAGGTCTGAATATGGGCTCTGCCACTTATCTGCTGTCTCTCTGAGCCTCAGTTACCTCATCTGTAAAACAGAAGGTAGTAAGAGCATTTCACAGAGACTTGGGGATCTTGACCTCATTAGCCTTCGAAACTGGAGAGCTGCTCTCCATGTCTTCTCCTTTCAGCAGCTTGATGGCCAAGGAAGGCTGAGACCTAAAGCCTCTCCCTGGCCTCCTAGCCCATGGGCTTCCCAGGTGCAGTGAACTTGTAGCTTCAGATGTTTTATTCTATTGTTCACAGCCTATGTCTAAACTAAGTACCCCATGTAGGTGGATTTGATGTTCAAAAAATATGGGCACTTAGGGAATGGGTGGTTTATAGTCTATTATAACTTCCTACCTACTACCTGGAATTTCCCTTTTTTTCTTTTTCCTTTTCTGGTTTTAAGACAGGATCTTGCTAGGTTTCCCAGGCTGGTCTTGAACTCCTGGCTTCAAGTGATTCTTCTGCCTTGGCTTCCCAAAGGACTGGAATTAAGGGGTGAGCCACCATGCCTGGCCAGTACTTATATTTCTATCCTGGAGACCAAGCCTGAGCTTTTCGCTTCTGTTACTCTAAGCCTGAGACGATGCCTGACATCTAGCAGGTGCTCAGTGGAGGATGGAATGAGCTCCCAGGGCCTGGTTGCTGGGCAGCCTGGGGAGGTACCTCACTCAGTCAAATCCAGGAGATTTGGCCCCTACCTGGGCCTCAGGACGTAGGGAAATTGAGGCCTCCTTCACCAAAGCCCGATTTGCCTGCTTCCCTGTCTACACCGGATGCTGGCCTCTCCCCTCCCGTGTCCCTGTTGCTCTCTGTCCCTCTGTGTGCCTCTTCATCCGCCCACTCTGGGCAGGTTGTCTCCAGACCAGTCCTGGGGTCTCTGGGGCAGGGCAGCTTGGATTTTTCTATCCTCCGGCCTCCCATACCTCCAGCCTCCTAGAACACTCTGCTCCCTTGTCCAGCTAGCAGCTCCATAGTCTGATGATACCCCCTGGACAGTAGGGCCGGAGAGAGGATCTCGGGAAGGAATCTGACCAGGGAAGGGAGGGAATAAACACAGTGTCATGGTGAGCTCCTCAGGCCGTGGAGACCTCACAGTGTCCCATCATTTATTATAATGACATCAGCATGAAGGAGTGCTTACTATGTGACCAGCAGGGGACACCAGCACCTGTAGTCTCCATTGAAACTGTGAGACAGATTGCTGTTTTGTAGGTGGGAGAATTGAGGCTGGAGGGGATGAGAAACGTGCCAAAGATCACACAGCTGGTGAGTGGCAGAGCCAAGACGTGAGTCCTGCCTGTCTGACTCTGGCCCTCATAATGACCATGTTGTGCTGTTTCTTCTGGTGTGCCAAACACACACACACACACACTCACGAACGCACACAGGCACGCACACCCTGGACAATGTGGCTATCCCACCAGGACCCCAACTATTTCCAAAGAAACTGCCTCCAGGCAGTGCACACACGCCACGCGGGGAGGTTTGTGACCTTGCCATGTGATGTGTATTTCCATCACACTCATAAGCAGTCATGGCCTAGATTCCTGAGCGAGACATCAACCTTCTGCCTGCTCATTCTTCAATACTCAGCTCCTTGGGGAAGCGTCTGCAGTCTGAGTATGTCTTCCTCTGTGGTTGCACTGATCCAGATGAGAATAACTGCCTAGGAGCTCGAGGAGGGCTGGTGCCCAGTTCCTGGAGCTCACAGGGAGCATTGCTGGATGAACAGGGGATCCCAGGACCAACGGCCATGCAGTGCCATTGCACTGGTCAACTGCAAGGCTGCAAAGGGGCCTCACTGGTGTCTTCCCTCTTCCTCCTTCTCTTGCTCTCCTCCGACCTCCCCAAGGAGTCTGGAGCCTCCCTGCTCCTCTGGGGAAGTGTGATTAATGCAGGCAGGGTGGGTGGCAGGATTCTGGGTCCTATTCTTGGCTGTAGCCTCATTCTGGAATGTGCCCTGAGGTCAGGTGACACTCCTCTCTCAGGTTGCATCAGGAGGAAGGAACTTCCAGCTGGAATTCTCCTAGGGGAGAGGGCAGGGCAGGCAGGTGGGCAGGTCTCCCACCCTCTCCGTCCTACCTCTAGGTCTCCTGAGCCCTGCAGTGCTGTTTTTCCAGGGTCAAGTTGGTGTCTCTGTGTCCACATCTCACATTACCCTGGTTCACGGAACTCTGGCACCCAGGTCTCCACAATACTCTGACACCCTCAACCCACCTTGATGAGGGGAAATAGGACTCAGCTCTAACACTGTCCAGACCAGCCTCTCCGGAAGTGGGGCCCGTTTCCAGTATGTCTGTCTGGGGGGTCACTCGAGTGTTTTCTGTCCATTTCAGGTCTTGGGATAATCTGAGGAAATACCCATGCTGGTATATGTTTCTATTCGTGTTTCATATACCAACAGAAACAGAATTTAGTTTCTGGTTTGGCATGAGGGACACATCCAATTCTGTCCGTAATCTAAGAGAGGATAGAGGATGGATACGGCTTTGTCCTCTTCCCATGTGGGCAGCCAGGAACAAAGGGGGCCTGGGGTATTCTCGGGGACCACTAGGAGAGAAACATGGTGGCAGAAGAGGGGAGTGGGCATCTGAGTGTTAGCAATGAAGAATTGGCTTTACTTTACATGCACGGTCCAGTTTAATCCTCACAACCCTCTTTAGGCAAGACAGATCCCGCCCTAGGTCCCAACCTTCAGGAGGGCAAAGCCAGGAGGTGCCTTCGTACCTCTGCCTCTATATCTGTATTTTAATCATCCCAGTTAAAGGCTGAGCATGAACCCACAAGTTCTCCTGAACATCCATAACCACCATTTCTAACTGATCCCTGACCTCTGGGAGCACCAAGGTGAGACCAAAAGTTTATAAAGGTACTACTGAGTTCATGAAAATGAATTCAGGAGACTTGCACAGAGCCTGGTTGCCGCCGGAGATGCCTGAGGCCTCAGCCTTAGGAGAGGTCAGAGACACAATGGAGCGAGCAAGGGATCGCTTACACCTGAGAC